AGCTGCGGCTATAGTGCGTGCGGGGAATTGGACACATAGTACCGTGTATGTAGAATCGTTAAGGAAAGCCCAGGCAGAATTTCTAAGCCGTTTCTTATCCTGTACCTTGAAGTAGCAAAGGAAGTCGTAGAGAAGGCGGTAGGGTTGCTCAAGCTGAAGATCGAAACACAAGGCCTCAAGCAGCGTGTCTTCATTGTGTAGAATAGTATCGCGCCACCTCCAAAATTCTTTTGACTGCTCATCCACCACCATGCTTGGTTTCTTCTGTGCGATGCGACAACAGGCTACGATTAGCTCCTTCATCTTGCGGCAGTTCTCCTCGACTTTGGTAGCGAGGAATAGAGCAGTGGCGGCGATCGAGTAAGGGTGCATTCCTGGGCGCTGAGGAAGGTCTTTCATACTATATCGCATGAAGAAACGGTGGAGATAGACGCTCGCGGTGCAGAGCGTGAGCTGTGGAAGCTTCAACAGGATTCCGACCTGGGTGATAAAGTTAACCCCCTTGCTACGGCTTGTGTGTTCAGCTTCAATCGTCATCCCATCGAGGATAGAGGGTGTCCGGTAAAGTTCCGCGTCCGTGAATAGCCATTGCGACTGAGCCGCGACTAGCACACGGTTGGAGGGTGTTGGGGCCGGCGGTGCGGACCCGCGCGTTGAGGAAGATGTAGCCGGCATTTTTGATCACAATGACGGATGAGGAAGAAGGAGCCAGACAAGACTTCAACTGAACGAAGTGCAAAGAAGATATCGCGGTATAGTAATATCACGCAAAATACGGACAGCTCACTAATCAACGTCCTTGTTCTCCGGCGGAAGAGTTATCCTGATGTCATTCACTCTCGATCACCAGAGTCCCCATAAGAGGACATGAATGAATAAATCATGGGAGATGGTTCCAAAACGTAGAGAAGCTCATACGGATGGCATAGTCAGATTTGACGTGATATATTGCTCGGTGGGCAGCGTGTGAATTTGGGATGTATCGGATTATTGTTGTTCCGTCGTCTCCGTGACGGAGCATTAGATGCGTGGAACACACTGGTGGGATATTTGAGGAGTACAACAAACGTATATTATACAAACGACTTGTCTATCATTGTTTTTTTAAATCCTTGAAGAGTAAAGAAACACGTTCGCTCTGCTCTTCCAACAAGGAAAAAAAGGAAAAGAACCCCAAAATAGTATAAAAATACTGTGAACAGAAGCCGATGGCTCTTATAAATGTGTATGATAATGTACTTACTCTTCCTCGCTTACTTCGCTTTCATCGTCACTCACAATGTGGTGTTGCATCTGTTGCTGTTGTTGCAATAACCTCTGGGCCCTCTCTTGCTCCTCCTCTCTTGCACTCTCTTCAAAAGCCGCTTCCATCTCAGCAGCCAAATCATCATCGTCTATAACTTCATCCTGTTCTACGCTTTCTCCTTTTCCTTCCGGTTCCTCATCCTCTTCTTCCTCCTCCTCATCCTCGTCCTCTTCCTCATCCTCCTTGTAGTCCTTGTGAGCTTGAGTTGTGGTGCCTGCGGGAGACGGTAATCTCAAGTCTTCTATCTCTCCCTCGTCATCACTGTCGTAGTCCGCTTCATTCGCAGAGGTATTGTTCGACGAGAAATGTCGAGGATTCATTTTGAAGGCTGGACGGGCAGGGGGTGGAGAACCCATATCGATAATTAAATCGCCATCAACAATTATATTCGCCCCAGGAGATTTAGCTGCTTGTGCTGGCTTATTTTCATTCGCTCTCTGTGCTGTAGTTTCTTCTCTGTCTGAGGAGGAAGAATCGAGGCCGAGGTCCACTTCTTCGACGCGGGGGGCAGATTTAGGTTTAGGCTTCGCCGATCCTTTGTCTGCAGCCGTCGCTTTCGGTTGTCGTTTCTGTTGTCGAAGCGGGTTTGTTTGAGGCTTCGCCTTAGCTGGCGGCTTTGGTCTTGGTCTCACACTGGTGACAGGTGGTGGTGCTAAATGTGAATTTGCATGATTCCGAGGAGTTTGATGTGCATCGGGGGTAGTGGTCTCAGGTGCCTCGCGTTCAGTTTTAGGCTTTGGAAGAAAGTGACGAAAATCATATGGATTGCTTTCATCCGCCGCACCTTGGGCATCATCCTCACCATGTCCCTCCTGTAATTGGTCATCGCCAGATGTTTGATCTTCCCCAGAGAGAACACTAAGCTGCGGGTATTGTTCTATGACTTGTTGAGTAGATTTCCCAGGCGCGGATTGAAGGTTGAAATTCAATCTGGTCGACACAGGCTCGAGAACAAACGCTCTTCGCTCTGGGTCAAACACCAGGACCAAGTTGCTGGTCTCTGATTCGGACACTAGGGATGCAGGATCAACGCTGCCATGGTATGTGTGTATAAGATTTGTCTGTTCTGCACTGTGGGATTTGTCTTGGAGTGTGAGCTTGTAGAGATGCTGGGAGGAGCCCGTCGCAGTGATTGTCGCCTTTTGATGTCGAGAAGCCGACTTGCTCTTATGGTTATATGTAATGCCAATGAATCTATTTGTATTAGATTGTCCCTTCCCAGCCAATTTGTCGCCCAGGAGAATGGGGTATTCCGCTTGCTTGGTAGGGTCAATCAAACCACCGTTTGGCTGGGAATTAGCATGAGCTGCCACAGTGGCCATTGGTTGGTATCGAGACAAAATAGACAGTAGTGAACGTGTCACGTAATATACAATAAGGGTGAATAGAGGTTTATGCAACAAAATATAGTGCTTGCGCAGGTCAACGAAGGTGCTAGCTTGGGGCGGATCTACTGTCAGAGCAGCGTGGGAGTGGGCCGCAGGACCGAGGAACGTGGCGGGGGATTAGAGGAGGGCAAAGGATCTACATTTAAATCGACATCCGAGACAGGGAGAACGAAGGTTTACGAGAACAAAGAGAGAAGCTTAGGAGAGAGAAGAAACGCAAGAAAACGCCAGCTCAAAGGACGAGAAACAATCGTTCACCAACGGAACAATCAAACGGGAGGCACAGGATGACAAAGCAGCCGCTGCTCGCCTTGCTCCAGCATACAACACCAAACCGAGAACCGGATTGGTTGGTGGATCCGCCCATTCGCGCCCTGGCTGAACGGTTTAGCTTATTTTTATATTTTATTATTTTTATCTACCGGGCGTATTCTTCAGGAGGGCCACAGACGCTCATAAAATTGAGGGCAAGTTGAGCAATCTACGCCTCGTTCAGCTGTTGGATTCTATAAAGCACAATAATTATTTGTCTGACTTACTACTCTTGTATACGCCTCCAGGCATGCGCTGATCTTTAGTATTGGAGTTATCATATATTATTCTCTCAATCTAGCTTAATGGTTGTACCACCCTTGAGATTGTTTTTGGCCCGCTAGCAGTCCCGCCGGCCGTTAGTCGATCCAAGCGTTCTGATAGTATACGGTGCTTCTTCATAACTTCTTCCCATTCAGAGACTGTCACCTCCTCGTCCTCTGCATCGCTTTCTTCATCCCCTTCACTAAGGAAAGACAATATCATACTAAAATTTCCCCCCAACCGGCCCAAGCTGCCAGCACAATACAGCACTTGAGTAAGCAAGCTTTCTCGTGAGCTCTTGTCTTTGACATTTGGAAGATATGTTTTCAACGTTTCTGTCAAGAGTTGCGCTAGATGCATCGGCAAAGTAGCTAGCGCGGTAGGTAGGCGTGGTAAAGGGTCATTCTGAGGTTTCCTTAATTTTGTTCCTGGTTTAGTCTGCAGGCTTAAGTCCCGCAGATCTAAGCCGGGCACGTTGGCGGATGGCAACGCAGGGTCGGATGGTGTGGGCGCGAAGATATTCTTGTACATGGAAACTATTGCAAAGCTTTGTTCTCGGTAGATTTCAATGTATCTTTTTAAAAATCGTTCTGTTTGCTGGCCCGCCGGCCAAGCATTGCTGGTAGTGGATGGGTTCATTTGTTTCCCATTGCTTTGCAGCCGTTTCTGGGTTTCTTGGTCTGCGAGCTCTCTCAATGGATCAAGAGCCTCAAGCATAGATATTAGGTTTGCCAACCGACAAACTAAAAACAATGCTCCAAAAGCTCCCTCACTATTCATTGCAGGCGCTTCGTCGTTACTAGGATCCTCTAACTCCGGAGCGACACGTCGAAGCCAACCCACAGTTCTCATAGCCGTAGCAAGTCTTATATTTTGACCTCGAAGCCCAGCAATAAGATTGCTGGTCATGTCCTTCATTGCATCCTCCGCCTGTAGAGCAATGTCTTTAATTAGCGGCGAATCGGGATAAAGGGTCTGTAATCGTTTTATGTGTGAAAACAGATCTAGGACAGAAGAGTAATTCGTGTTCGATCCCCCAGCGGCCCCAGCATTAGCGGATGAGGAAGACACCGCTGTAGAAAGCAGAGTGGGCAACTCTAAAACATCGGACAATCGGTCCACATTCCTCAGCAGTTGCATGGCCTTCTTCCTGCCATCCAACATTGGGTTCTCTACATTTTTGTTGTATATGGAAGAGAAATGCACGATCCCCTCATCCAACTTTGGTATTCCATTTTGCAGTCGCTGTGCTTCTGTAGCAATTTGTGGTAGTGTATAACGGAGGGAAGAGAGGTGGTCGGCTGTGGTGACGAACGACTTGTGAGAGCGATTGGCGAGAGCTTGCAGGGAAACTAGAACAGAGTGAGATGATTGCGAAAGTGACTGGGGTTCCGTCGACGTCAGTGAGGATAGGGAAAGTGTCGATAAGCGGTTAAGGTACTTGGAGGAGACTGAATCTGAGGTAGGGGGTGGCGGGCGTGAGGAAATGTCAGTGGAGTCAAAGTACGGCACCAAGAGTTCGTATAGTGGATCAGTCATAACGGGCGTGCCTGGCGTAAAACCCAAGCTCTTAAGTCACTAACAATGCGGGGGTTTAAAAGAGACTGGGGTTCGATAGTGAAACTGGTGTATGCGCGCCGTTGGGCAGAAACGTTGCATGATCGAAGATGGATGAAGGTTGGCAGCAGTCGGCAGGCGGAGATGGCGGTGGCTCGCTCAGGAACGCGACCCGGTTTCAATTAGCGCCGCAGCTTGGTTGATGTTACCCCCTGACATATTTAGAACCCAACATTCTTCTTCATAGTTAATAGCATCAAGAAGCCCCCACAGCAAAAGGACTTGGGGAAAGTATTTTCAAGAGACCTCCAAAAAAAAATTAAAATAATAATAAAAAAAAAAAAAAACACATTCATTCCATTCTCTAGGTTGCAAGAATGGGGAAACCTCGGGTGAGTCCGACAAGATAGACTGCCCTCTCTGGTGCGATTGCGGCAAACTCTAGCTCGCGTATGCCATATTAACCCAGCTATATACAGATGATAATCCTTATCCGTCACGCCCAGTCAGAAGGAAACAAAAACCGTGAAATTCACCAGTCGGTTCCGGACCACCGAGTGAAACTTACGCCAGAGGGGCAGAAGCAGGCCCTCGAAGCTGGGCGTAGATTGCGGGCCCTCCTGCGCCCAGACGATACCCTTCATTTCTTTACATCCCCTTACCGCCGCACGCGTGAGACGACTGAGGGCATCCTTACGTCTCTAACGTCAGACGATCCTTCACCGTCGCCCTTCCCAAGAAACACAATAAAAGTCTACGAGGAACCACGGTTAAGAGAGCAAGACTTTGGCAACTTCCAGCCATGCTCAGCAGAAATGGAGCGCATGTGGCAGGAGCGTGCTGATTATGGGCATTTCTTCTATCGTATCCCGAACGGAGAGTCCGCGGCTGATGCCTACGACAGAGTTAGCGGTTTCAATGAGTCATTATGGAGACTCTTTGGGGAACAAGACTTTGCTAGCGTATGTGTGCTGGTCACACATGGGCTTATGACGCGGATATTTTTAATGAAGTGGTACCACTTCAGCGTTGAGTACTTCGAGGACCTTCGAAACGTCAATCACTGTGAGTTTGTAATCATGAAGAAGAGCGACGACGATGGAAAATATGTCCTTCAAAATAACTTGCGCACTTGGTCTGAGTTAAAGCGGGAGAGAGAGAGAGAACGGGAGCGGGAGCGAGCGTTAAAGGGTGATTCAGGCGCTTTAATTAGTCCTGACCTCGAGATGGAGTCGCATGTCCCTATCAGAAGGAAATGGGGTGGCTGCCCCAACGGGTGCAATCATTCTGCAGTGAAGTTTTGGAAAAGACGGCCTCAACGGCAATATACAAACGAGATATTGGAGGGTGATACAGCAACATATGGAGGCAGCAATGATACTCAATTTGTTGCGTCGCAGGCCAACCCAGGATATAGCTGGGACATACCTGTAGACAATCCATCTAGCACACATTACCACCATGCCCCTCCTTCGACTTCTTCATCGTCACCAAATTCAACGCCATCACACATCTCCCTGAATTTACACGTGGATTTCAAATCCCAGCTGGAGTTGTCATCAGAACAGGAGCTGAACAGGAGCCAGAACCAATCTTCTACATCCTTTCACAATAGAAAGGGACCACATAACCATCCCACGCGCCTGGGCGGACGGGACGGCGGCGGCTCCGAAAGCGGCGCAACGAGCCGTGCAACATCAGATAACGAAGAGGTCGACAACGTTGGCTATAACAATGAAAACTATAAGCATGTTGCAGCTAGCATGCAAAGTGGTAGACAAAGCCATGGGCAGCGCCAGTTGCAAAGCAACGACCGGAGGCAAGGACATGGAATCGCGAACTCATTGGGCGATCGAGACGACGACGACCGTTCTGCGGGCAAACAAGGCCTGCTAGATGATGACGACAAGGACGGGAACGATCGTGATATTCCTAAAGCCGGTCCCTATTCTAGCGATGAGCTGGAAGAGGAAGAGGATGCTGTCCTTGAGAAGGCAATACGAGAGGATCGGAGTATTCGAGGGTCGGTTTATTAGCACGGAAATTTATTGATTGCTCAAGATTTCTTTTTCTTTTTACTGGTCCCCAGTCGCTGAGTACTTTACCGTCGTCTATTTCGTTTCTCTCATTGATGCGCTGGAAAGGCGGCTCCGAGCGATGATCTCTCGACGAGTTTCACGGACCTAGCATCAGCGATTTCGCACCTAGGGTACACACCAACTCCTCGATCACACTACGCTCTTGGTCCGGTATCGTGGTCCCGAAACCTTGAACCCGCGCAAGAAGCCTTATCCAGGTCCAATCTCGGCCCCTTTTCGATTCTGCCACGGATAAAAACAGGATGAGGAAAGAGGACTAAACATTATGATGAGATGAGACCCTTATATCACACCCACTCACTCCACCGTCGCCTTTACTCCCTACGGCGATGTATATGAAAAACGAAGATCCCAATGATGCTCTACGATAGTGGAAACGTGAGAGATGAATTTCGGATGCCCAATTGGAGTATAGGGTGAGGCCTTGTAGGAACGAATCCAAAGAGAAATAAAACAGGTATGTCTATTCCCAGGAGGAATGGATTGGTTTTCATTAGATAGTAGTTTAAATGAAAGTTCCGCGTACCTTGACGGCGCGACCCCTTTTTCTTTCAGTTATACCTGGCGTCACTTGGCTTTTTCGTGTAGATCGCCCAATAATAGTCAATCTAATGTACTGTCTGTGCATGTACCATCCCCGACTGCAAACCCTAGTATATGTTACTGGATAATAGAATCCACAATTCTCTCAAGAACAAGCCATCTGATACGAAAGGAAACCATGGCCTACTTTGCAAACCACCGTGGTATATTCAGTGAGAATTGGAAACATGAACAACAAAATAGTTACTGCACCTCTTCCGTGAAACCACAGCAGCAAAAAAACAAAAACCACCGTGTTTCCCCCCCCTTCTGGGCCCTCCTTCCCAGACAGGAAAAGCAGCAACTGAGTACTGTACATGCTCCTTCTAACCAAACCAAACCAAGATATTGATTTCCCTTCCCTTCCCTTCCCGCCTCAACCAGGACCAGACCATATTTTAAGGTTAAGCAGTGTCACGTGAATGAGCTTATTTGAATCTTTCGATTTTAACTAGGTGTTCCCTGAACACCATAAGGTAGGTGGTAGATGTAGGTTGGTGGGTAGATAGGGATATAGTACATTATTGCCTCCGCCGTAAGTAAGTCATGACGGGGCCACTGGTACACAGTATTTATGAAAGGGCTTGCGCATAGATCGGCGACGCGACTCAGAACCGTAAAGTGATAGATAGCCTTCAACATGGTTGAACGGTAGTTAGGCCAGAAGGGTTCATGTAGCCTCGTAGTAGCAGCGGATTCAGACGAGCACGCAGACAAAAATAGAATCAAAGATATTCAAAGGAAAACTTTACCAGGAATAGTTATGTACGTTCCATTTTTGGCTAGTCTCCTGATTTCCCCCCCCCCCCTCTGATCTTATCTTTTCGTCCGTTCTCAACCATACATACATACATCGTTCTTTTCACTATCTAAACTTGAAGCTTAAAACGCTGCTCAGCCGTTCCTCAGTCCTTCTTCACCATTCCAGGAGAAGAAAAAAAATAAAAAATAAAAAAAATTCAAGGACACAACAGAGCTGTTATAGAGTACTAATTCCAAACCAAAACCAAGCTGGTTTCATTTAGGAAAAAGACAAAGGTCAAAATGAGAAGATAGGAAAACCGCAAACCTTATGAAACAATAGGAAAGCTGCAAGAAATCAAAATTTGAAAAAAAAAGTGAAAATTAATGCACGAATAAACGAGGGTATCTTTTCCTCCAAATCACTCTTTTTTTGATAACAAAAGTTGGTCCCATGATGGACAAGAAAGTTATGTGCTGTAAAGTAATGTGTATGTGAAAATGTGAAAATGAAAAGCAGTGAGACTAAAAATTGAAAGGAATAAGAAAATGAAGAAAGAAAGAACTCAAAACAGACGGGGTAAGGAAAAACGTGGGAAAATCGTAGAATTGATTTCAAGAAGTGGAAAGGTAAGGTCAGTGTGAGAAGGAAAAATGAAGGACAAGGGAAAATTCTGGGAAATGACCAACAAGATGAGAACCACAAAAGATACACGAAACCACAAACAAAGCCGGAGGATATGCTCAGAAGACTCGGCACCAACGCCAGCCACACGAAAAATATTTTCTTTCCACATTTCGCACCACTACTCAGCAGACAACAAAGCCCAGACGTCAGAAATGAGTAACACGCAATATCTGCAGTTGATACCCCACCCCCGGTCGAAAAATTCCTGATGGAACGCAATCAATACAAAAATAGCAGATAAAAAGTATGAAACTGGACCAAATTTTTGCGCAGATGGGGAAACAAGAAAATGTGCTCGACGAATCCACAGAAAGTTCAAAGGAGGAAAATTTGGGCGAGAAAAGTAACGCCAGTTCGAAAGTTGAAAAATTGAGCAAGAACAGAAAATGCAAATGAAAAATCGTATCAATCTCAGTAAATCGTTTTGAAAAGAAAAGGGGCAAAAAAAAAAAAAAAAAAAAAAACATTGGAAAAGTCTACGGCGGAAGAGGGAAAAAAAAAAAGAAAAAAATAACTAAGGGGCAAAGAGAAATTTGACGGGGAAAAAATGGGAGGTTCACCACACTATTGCGCCCAACTGGCTAATGTGAACAGGTATTAGAGAAGAAACAATCAAGGAATAAGCAGGGATGACAAAAGCGCACAAGGAGAATAGATTTCAAATACGAGAGCAAAATAAAATCGTAAATCATCCGCAAAGCGCAAATAAAGAGGGCAGGCAAAACATCAGGCTGTTTTTGTGCTCAATTTTGAGCTAGTAACGCGATTTTGGGTAGTCTCGAAGGACAGTTCGGTTGAGAAAAAGTATTAGAAGTCGGAGACCGAAGGAAGAGGAGATGGATATAGATCGATTAGATACTCTAGATGCTCGCTCGCTTTTCACCGTGCTCCTGATGTATTTTTTTTTAAAACAAGGAAATTTTTTTTCGGATCGATTGCACAGAACTGAAATCAAGTGATGTTTTTTTGACAGGGAGTAATGTAATAATCGCGCGGTATATGGGATCGTAAACCGAATGTATCAAAATAACAACGTAAAGGATCGAACGGTAATGACGATCGAGGAAATGAAAGAATGTCGCAACGAAATGCGGGCTCTCAACGGGTATATGAGGAGTGTCTGCCAAGGGAACTCGATCGAAAGACATGCCACGATAATTAGGCAGGAGAGAATAAACCCGATATCCCGGACAGAGAGTAGATTAGCCGGCAACAGGTTGAATGGCAAAAGCTACTGTATGTAGGTAGTGCTCTTGGTGTTTCGCACAATACAAGCAGCCACAGGACGATCCATGTCCAGTCCAACCCGTTGGTGAGAAGGCGTGTGTATAGGAAGGCGTGTGGTGGTAGGATGGCGGTTGCGATCGGGGAGCCGGAGGAATGTACTGTTGAGGGACAACCCAGCCACGAGAATACGGAGGTGGCGGGTTGCTGTATGCCCAAGGGGCAGGACGGTAGTAATCAGGCGTATTAGGACCGCTATGAGGCGCTGAAGGCGGAGAGTAATCTGAAGCATTAGAGCTTAGCCACGCACCCCTCTGATATTGAGGGGGAATTGGCCCATCGGGGGACAGAAGCGCCGCCTTCTGTTGAGATGCATGCTGTCTTTGGATGTTTGTATCAATGGGAGCAAGTTTACTGCGAGACTCGTTCGCCCTTGCATCAGCCTTTGCGCGCCATGTATCCCAATGTGCCTTCCACGACTTGAACCCGTCTTGCTTGTTGTGGATACGGTTATGGATGTTCCATTCAAACCCGAAAAGCCACTCCAATTCCATCGCATTCAATTCCGCAACGGGAATATTGCTAACTTCCGCCCAAGAGCGATTTTGGAACGTATTGTCGTCGAGGAACTTGCTTCCAAGCAAAAGAGCGGTGGTAAGCATGCGGTAGACCTGAGAGCTTCCAGACTTGTAGACATCAGCTGCTGAAAGCATCCGCATTCGACATGCCAAGTAGTAGAGGCCTAGAAGAATGGTGGAGCTAGGTAGACGAGTTGAAGAAAGAATCTGTGAGACGTATTTTCGGAATTGGGGCGGGACTGTTGTTCCTGGGTAAACACTTCGAGCGAAGTCAATATCTGCAAGCACAATCTTGGAGATATACAAAGCATACATTCCCTGGGCCATTTCCGCCACGAAATCCGACATCTGACCCATCTCGTAGTCCAGGTGGGCCGCCACGCCTCCGGTCGGTTTTTCCTCCTTGGGTCGTGAGTCCTGGTGATTGACTTTTTCTTGTCGTCGATACTGCGGAGGAATCGCGTTGTCCATCGGGGGAAGCTTCGTGCTTGAACGAATGGGAGGCAGGATAGGAGGGTTCACCGTGCCATAGATGGCTTGTGGAAGGGCCTGGTGCGATACCATCGTCTGAGAAGAACCCATTTCCCGACCTCCGTGTAGCGGATGTAATGGCTGCGAGTGCGTAGTCATCGGGCCATGGTTTTGGTAGTTGGCGTTGGCGGTCTGCGAGAACTTTTCGATAAAATCATAGCCGTTTTGAGGAAATCTCATGGCATAGGCAGAATTATTTTGCTGATAGAACGGCGTCTCTGATTCGAGACGGCTGCCAATAACATGAGGTGGAGTGGGAGGGAAGGTAGAAAGAGTGGAGGAGAAGAACGACGGCATGATGGAAAAGATAGATCCCGTCCAGGGCTGGTGGGAGTAGACGACTTGAAGGAGGCGACGTCTTGAGAGAATGTTATTAGCACCCCAAAAAACTGATTTCCCAATTTCCAACAAGGACTAAAAAAACACCAGCGCAGACTAACCGTCTACACGTCCACCACTTCCCAAGTGTTAACAAGGGTTCGTCGACGGACGACGAGCCCTGGGGTCTTCAAACGACTTCACAAGGTAGTGGGCTCTTTAGAATAGCGACATCTGAGGCGAATCGATCCGGCAACGAGAGAACGAAAGGATAAAAAAAACAAAAACAAAAAAGATCGATGCGAGGGTGAAATGTCCCGTCACAGGTCCAACAGGAGAAAGGAATGAGGCTCAGTGGAACAGAATTGTTGTAAATGGGAGTTTAGAATATGTAGGATATGTTGGAATTGGCAGCCATCACACGAAACGTGAGTTCGGGAACTCGGAGAGGAGGAAGATTGGAGTGGAGGGAAGTCGGTAGTTGAAGGAGCAACGAGACTCAACGAGGCTTAGTGAAAAGCTCGCAAAGGTTAGGTAGGAGAAGCGTCGAGAGGGGGAGAGTAGGGATAGGTAAGGATGGGGGTGAGGATGAATTTGGAGAAGAGATTGAAGAAAAGGATCGCGGGGGAAGAGAAGAAGAGAAGAAGAGCGATGCGAAGGAGGACAAAAAAAAGAGGTTGGAAGATGAAGAGTGAGAGTGAGTGTGTCTTTGAGTAAGAAAGAAGATGCTCGCCCAGAGGCAAAAAGCAGTCAGTCAGTCCAGTCAGGTCACTCCCCTTAGTAGTAGTAGGCAGGTATGAGGAGGGCCCCGTACGCTGATTACCAGATTACCACTGTTACCACCAGTACCAAAGTTACGTAAACTATACGAGCCATGACGGGCGGTGGGTGGTGCCGTCATGAATATTAATAATACTCACGTTCATTGGGCCAACCGCAAGAAAACCCCCTTGGCGACCTGGGTTAACCATTCTTATTAATTCTTATTATTATTAATATACGCTGCGTAGAGAAATGCACAGGCTTGGGCTGCCTGCTAGGTGGTTTATGGAGGGTTATTAGGATTTATGATGCCTGACAGAACAAGAGAAGAGGACAAATGTGCGAGTACAGAATAAGTCGGGGAAGGTTTGGTTTTTTTGGAGACGACTGCCCCCCCCCCCATCCTGTTGTTCTTCGCCTGTCGCCGGGGCGTTCTATGACTCTCCTAGGTGGGTTATTCTTAGACACTCTGACAAAACTGCGCCACGCCCTCTCGTACGGAGTAGGGTTCTCTAGAAGAAACTCGAGAAACCCCGAGGAACGCAGGACGCTGCTTGCTCAGAAATTGACGGTGGGGAACCTAGACCTTTGACCCTGGGTTTACCAAAAATAATTTGGGCTATTTTCAGGTTTCGGAAACGCTCACAGAAAGAAATACCGAGCTGTCATGGGCCTGGGTAAAGAGAGTCTCCTCTCCCCCCCCCCAAAACAGCATCAACTCCAAGACCCCAAAGCAGAGCATCCAGGCCTGGCAAAATTGTCATTGTAAGATGGAAAAATGAAGGCGAAAATTTCAGAGATGTCTCATGCCTCTCCTCTCTGCATGAGCCAAGGCCTCCACTCCTCTATGGGTTTAAACTTCCCATAGTTCCATACAACCGTACATGTGCAAGCAACCTCAACCCTCTTTCGTGCTTTAGCCCCCTTGCTAAATTTCCCACTACCAGTATTCTCGCCCAATAAGAACCCTTGCTATGTTTTTGAGGGCGAGAGCACCTGGACAGTCGAAATTTTCTGGATGATGGACGATGTGACAATACCAATACATTCCCGGTATGGCCCTTCGCCCAGGGTATTGAAACAGACTTCGAGACGCTGTATTACGATTACACGCCCCTTCTCATCAAAGTTTTCAAGTTCTTTTCATTGGCCTTTTTCTCGTCCAAAATTTCGCCTGGCTTCCTTTGTAGGCTTGCATACCAAAAAAAAAGTCTTGTTCGTTGAGGACCAAATATTCGGGGAAATATTGATTCAATACTGTGGTTGCGGCACAGGGCACAGAGGGACTCTTGATATCCTTGAAATAATCTGGAAGATGGAGAGTGCTTGTTGGCTTGAGATGAAAAGGAACAACCACACAACATCTTAACAATTTCCATCTGCCTGGGCAATAATAAAAAGAATAATAATAAAAGTACGGAGTTACGGAGTGCGGAGCAGTTAGGGGAAAAAACAAAGCAACTTGCACCCCCATCAAACACAACCACCAAACGTTGCTCTGTATCGAAAACAGAGACCGCTTGGCCTGGACTCAAGACCAATTCAGACACAAAAAAAAAAAAAAAAGGTGGAAATTTTCTTTTTCCATTCGATGTGCCAGAAGTTAGAACCTGAAAGCCTCCTCCAGTGCAGTGCAGTGCTCAATCTAAATAAATACGTAGACCCGCTCCCAAAACTGGTACCGACCGACCGAGACCTCAAGAGCAGTTGCGCGGTTATGTATCATCATAAAGACAACTGAAGTCTCCACCTCATTTGCTGCTTTCCGAGGCACTCGAAAAGCTACATACAACAGTTATATCCATTGCACAAGGAAGGGGAGCGCCAGAAGATAAGCAAGTAATAATACCTAAACGGACAAATCATGTTGCGAGGAAAAGCCCTTTTTTTTTTTTTTTTTTTTTTTTTTTTTTTTTTTTGCTTTCAAGAGTTGTCTCGAGTTGCTAGTGGCAACCGCCTCTGCCGAAAGTTTTGCCTATTACCCAATAAGATGTCATGGAACCAGAATAGAAGCCTGACATGCCAATCTAGCCAGCCAACTACAGTCTGTAGATTGTGTGATGTTTATTTTTCACCTAAAATAGGAGAAAACCAAGAGATTTGAGGGTTTTCCCTTTTTTCTTTTTTTTTTTTTCCTTTTCCTGGCCAGTCAGGGGTTCATCAGACCAGAAAAGAAAGAAAACAAAAAAAAAATTCCAACGTCATCTGTCCCTCATGTCATGCTTTTTTATCGCCAAAATATACACATCTCCACCCACCCCAAAGTAATCATAAATACGTAGAGAGGTTACGTCCAACCTTCTTCAGGCTTCAGCTTTTTTTTTTTTTCTCTTCGCCAGCCGCCTCCAGCCTCCAGGCTTGCATAAATAATATGGGTGGTCAGCATCGCCATCCATGTTGATGTACGGCTGTTTCCGGGCCCAGCTGAAAAAGAGGAGGGAGAGTTATTAGCAATCTATGTTTTATGTTTCCCGTTTCCCCTTCATCGGGCGCCTGCCCCTCCTCTCCTCCCCACCCCACCTCCTCCTCCTCCTCCTCCTTCAAAGGTTTGCTTGGTAATAAAGATCTCTGGTTCCTATTGCCTGCTTGTTGCTTGTGCTAAACTTCAACCCGAAAGGTTATCACGGAACTTGGCAGGAAGGGGCTTTTCGGGAAAAAAAAAAAAAAAAAAACAAAGAGGGAACAGGACTGAATTGGCGGGTTAGTGTGATGGCAAATAATGGGGGTCACAGCCGCTTTTTTTTTTTTTTCTTGCTATGACCCAAATGCAACAGAGGATACGGAGTACGAAGCGAAGTGTGCTGAGCTAGGTAATAAAATGTGCAGGCAGCGGCCACAGCCCCTCTTCGGAACAGCAATATAGGTAGCGGGTAGGTGATCACGGATCACAGCCGCCCTGCCCTCATCAATCATGCGACTGCGCAGAAGAAACATGGGATGGGTGGAATGGGGGAACTAACTGGTGGGGTACATACATACATCGTCAACTTTTTGAGATGAGTTATATAATAAATTAATTATAATATTGGGTTTTGTTGGGGGTCCCGCGGTTGATCGGCCCTTCTACCAGCAGTGCGCTGGTGGTGATCGAGCTCTTTTGCCCCAGTAGCCTACAGGTTTTCCGCATCACCGGATCTAGATAACTTACAGATTACATACATATTTCGAGTATGTATGGATAGAGGAAGGAGTTCACAGTATTAGAAAAAACTCCTCGCCAGCGTAAGCCACTGACCGCATCTGCTGATGATGTCGCTCGAAATACGTCCATGTCAACAGATGTCATTGTGCAACAGAAGCCTGTTTTCGTGTAGGGTGTGTGCCTAGTGAGTATGTTGGCTGAATATGTCAGAAGAGAAAGTTAAATCTTCACTCTCTGAAGAGCGGGAAGGACGGGTGAGATCTCCAGAGGTGAGTCAGGTACTATCCTCTACATACTATATGTATGTACTACATATTTCCGGTATGATTATATAGTAGTAAAGAGCTCAATGATAAGCAATGTACGGAGTATGGTCTGAAGAGGGGATTTATGTTAGTTTCATTTGTTGCTCTGTTTGAGGGTGGGAAAGACGACAGCAACCAGCCAACTACAAGCCAGATTTCAACTGGGACGAGATTCCACAAATGGAAAGAGAGAGAGAATTCTTTTTGCTTGAGCCTCTGCTATCTCAGGGGGGGTTTCACTGATCAGATCACAATATTGTAGGTAGAAGGAGAGAAGAGAGCGGCGGATGCGGCGGATTAGCATCCGCCATGGTGCATTTGTCATTGTACTAGATATGGTTTTCTCGCGCTGGCGGTCAGTGGGAATCACCAGGGCGGCTGACCTCTTTGATGGCTTCATGTACTCATATCATATATTTTAGTATTGAGTTGCGAGGAAGAGGAGCATGAATGCTTGAAAGATAATGTACGCTGCACGGGGGAAGCGCGGCGGACTCAGAACCAGTTTGCTCACATGTATAACTGCAAACTGCATTATTATTGTCTGCATGTACGGAGGTAACTTACTATATGGCCTTAAAGCCCAAAAACCACACACGCGAGAAGAGAGAGTGATGCTTTTCAGGATGGGTTAGAAAAATTCTGGCAAAGATTTGCAATTTGATAACTTCCCAACCCAGCTAGCTACATTTACTCCGTACCGGATGATATTCAGTCTTTTTTTATACTCCTTTTTCTTACTTTTTTCTTTTTCCTCTCAACCGCCAAAGACCATGCCCTCCATGCCATCCTGCAAAGAGTCCTCCGTGACGCATATTTTTTTTTTAATGAGTCTAGGTTCCACGCATTAGAAAAAGGGAGTGAAAATGCCAACACTCAAGTTTTTAATCAAATCAAAGTATCTTTTTCAAGTTCTGAAAAGGCTTTATAATTTAAAAATAATTCTTATAAGTCTCTCAGCTCTCAGATCTGAGTTCTTATACTCTGTTTATTATAGAAGTAGATTCTCAGTTTTCACTATTTAACTTATTCACTTTATAAGCTTTAGATATATTACAGTAATCTGAGATTCTGAGATTATTAATACGTTTCATACTTATAAAGCAGCAGTATCATAATTAACAGTGTGATCTCTTTCTATAGAGATGTATTTTTATTAAGAAAGTAATAGATTTAGATATTAGCTTTAAAACTGTGGCGGGCTGCGCCCGATCAATCATATAGACTATTCCGTTACACTCCATAGATTCTTCCGCTCCACTCTCGAACGCGTAGGCTCCGATTCTCGGCCATTCTCGATCGCCGATCCTCGGCTGCCATGAATGTGTATGCTCCGATTCTCAGCCATTCTTGATCACCGATCCTCGGCCGCCATGAACATGTATAGATTCTTCCGCCCCGAAGCTCCACTGCATACATCACCACATATGTGTATAAATATCCATCCTGATCACTGACTCTCACACTTTCTCTTTCTTTTCTTCTCTAATGTTTTTCTCTTTATTATATAAGACCTATCAATATTATACTGATCTATTCAGTGTAGACTTCTTATAATAGAAAAATATTCATTATCTTCTTATTAGAAATGATTATTCACACATTATCTTCTCATTAGAAATGATTATTTATTGAGAGATATCTGAATATGTAATAATATGTAAGAAAGAGAAATAATCAGTTAAAGTGAATACTGAGTTCTCAGATAGAAGCTTACTTATCAGTTACCCTGACTCTGTAATAAGATTTTACAAAGAGAATATTAGTAAAAGACTTAAGAGTTCTAACATCTTAGATATATAAGATATTTATACAATTATATATCTGACAATTAATATAATCATGTCTAATAATAATATGAAACTCTTAAACATGAGTATAAATATAATATCACAGAGACTCTGAGTAATATTGAAATTATAATAATAATAAATAGCTGATATACATATAACTTAATAACTTCAATATAAAGAGATTTAATAATTAACTCATATAATTTCAATATCTACAGAATTGAATATAAAAGTGCTGAAGAAATACTTAGATTCTTCTATATATTTCAATACTTTCAATCTCACTCTCTACTTATCATGAATAGACTGGCCGCCGGGACCATGAATTTCACATTTGGTCCCATTTGGTCTGGTCCCATACATTTCTTGGCGTGAATCCCGCTGGGACTGGCTATCAAAAAAACATGTAAAGTGACTATATATCAGATCTTAAAATGGAACCATGACTTGAAAAAAATGAGAAAGTAGTCCCATTTGGTCTCATTTAGTCCCATTCTTGGCATAAAGTTACTATTTTTAGACATTTTAAGGTTTTTTTTAGACTATTTTTAATTTTTTAAAAAGTAACACTTTTTGATAATGCTCAAATGAGATTTAAAGTCATTTAAAGCAATAAAAATAATTTAAATTGAGAAGTGGAAATCATGGTCTCATTTGAAAAATGTGACAAGAGTAGACAGTAAGTCCCACTGGGACAGTATGGGACTACTATCTAATGTTAAAACCGTGTAATGGGATCAGTCGAATTGGTAATGGAACTATCAAAAAATCTGGTCCTGGTCCCAGACACGGTCACACGGTCAGTCTAATCATGAAGAATGAAAATACTCATGAAACTAAGTGTAGATAAAGATATTATCAGTTTATTAACTAATTAAAGTTAATATATAAATAAATGATTGAAGAATTATGTGAAATAGAAGTTTCATCTATAAATGAAAGCATGTGAATCAGTATTATAAATATTTGATAATATTATTAAATATCTTAATATTCTGTTCTGAGACACTGTTATATAACAGAAAGTGTTAGATTAATTATAGAGTATCTGACAGAGAAACACTTCTCTTACAATATTTATATCTGACTTTAATATCAAGATTCTAGAAGCAGATAATCAATCTTGAAAGAATTGAATGAAAATTAGTATGCTTAAGAAGATATTAACTTTCAAACTCTTACAGACTCTTATAAGTATAGATGAAGATCAGACTTATAAAGACTTCTATATACAGCTCTGAATATTGAACAACTATCTTATCAAGCTGAAGAGTATACAGAATAGTGATAGAAGATATTACACTTCAGTCACTTATATATCTGCACTGAAGAATAACAATGATACAGATATTATAAATTGAGTAGACTTAAATATCTATATATAAGCAAGAGTCTCTGCTGTCTGAACAGGCTTCTGAGTTTCTGAAATCACTCTCAAAGAAGTCATCAATTAATGTTAATATAAAGTGTGTATTAACTGTAATCAATTAAAGCATATTGCTTTTAACTGCTGATCAGTCTACATGTCTTCTCACTTAAAGAATGAATCAATGTCTGTTCATGTCAATCACATTGTATTGAAAGAAGATTCAGAGAATAACTATGAGAATGCTCTGATAAAACAGAGAAAAGATTAGCTTCT